TGTGATGAGTGTAAATAAGTGTATGTATAATATATGTATGTGTGCGTGCGTGCGTGTGTGTGTGTGTGTGTGTGTGTGTTTGTGTATGTGTGTGTGTGTGTGTGTGTGTGTGTGTCCGTGCGCGCACTCGGCGCGTTTATGCGGCAGGTACAAATGTATGTGTGTGAAAGTGTTTTAGTGTTAGGCTTTTGTATGACCTAGTTGTGCTGCAAGTGCCGTAAAACTCTTTCGAAAACATACAATGAATGAATGTTGTCCTGCAGGCCTCACTCGTTTGATGCTCTTGCCTTAGAGAGTTGATTTTGTTTTAGTAAGAGTTTTACGACACTTGGAACACGATAAGTTCATGTAAGTGCCAACTATTAGAAGTGTTACAAGAGAGAAACAAACACAAAAAGTAGGAGGAGAGATAAGGACGGTAGATGTTTGTATTCTTGGGAAAGCAACTTTACACGCATTTTCCTCACATAACCCAGGTGAGAATGGGTACCCCGCCAAAGACAGCGAAAGATCTGATCAGTATGTTAGTGTTTAACCACCTACAAAAAGGGCAGCTTTCACTGTGTACTTCTCAGGAAGTTCAGATTGTTTCAGATTGCTATCAGGTCTGCTGGGGTAATAATATAGATAGTAAAGCACATAGAGCTTGCTGTTGAGCGTGAATTTGCACTATACGTAAGGCTATCTATCAACACCACAAGTATAAAAAAGATAAAAAGCATTATAAACAACCAATCACACACCCCTTTTCACGCAAATTGTCAGATCACGCTGCGGCAGATATACACCTCTAAAAAGAAAGGAAGAAAGATATAAAAGAAACTTTTTTACCATCTAGCATAAGGCTATTGTCAGAATAAGCGTAGGTGTGTATTGCTCTTTAGAGTAGGTATCTATGAAACTCCAAAGGTTTTGTAATTAAATTCCAGCACGAGGTTGAATGATGCATTTGATGTGATATGTACATTTTGTCAGCTTTATGTCTCTTTTCATATTGAATTTTAATGAGAGTAATATATAATTTAAATATTTATGTATACCTGCATTTGTTTTTACGGTCCTGTGCAATCAAGAAAAAATTCTCTCTGGGATGATAAAGTATTATCTCATCTTATCTTATCTCAGAACTCTTAAGGCAGAATATAATTGTCCTACCTCTCCTACCTAGAATATCTATGTCACGACGTGGTGGAATCAGGCGCTTGTCAATTTTTGGGCATATGGGGTTATTGGTATCATCTTAAAGCCTGTTCGTTTGCCTTCCTTATTGTGAAAAAAAAATTAATCTATTTTGAAAAGAAGTCCAAATATTTGCGAGTGAAAAAGGTCATTGTCGCCAGTTTTCAGAGGTAAAATTAGCGAGAAAATGGCCGCTAAAGTTTGGTAACATCCATAACCTGAGAGTCCTCAAAAACTAAAAATTTACATTTTTGGCGCCTGTGATCAATGTTTTTCAGTAAAATCAACATATAAAAATAAGTTTTCAAATGAAAAAAAAGGTGTTGAGCCAAAAAAGAATACAAGAAAAAAATTGCCAATCGGTGAAAAAATGCAGATTTCTTTGACTTCATTGTTTTGACGAGGGCCTGATTTCACCACGATGCCTCACATATCATGTCTGTCATCACGGTGTCCTGGGAGAAATAGTTTAAGTTATCAGCCTTTGGGGAGCAAAACTTAGGGTCTAGAAACAGCTGAAAATGAGCAAGGAAACCCTACCATAGATTTATAGGTCTATGATCACTCTAGTAGCACAGTGACACAGTGGGTGGTTGGCGGGTGCTGTGGTGTGGTTTGCTTCTTCTTTCCTATCAAACATTTATCGTCCTTATCTCTCCTCCTTCTCTTTTGTGTTTGCTACTCTCTTGTAGCAACTTTTATCTTCGGCACATATATATGACCTTATTGTGTTGCAAGTGCCATGAAACTTTTACGAAAAATAAACAGCGACCCAATTTCAAATGGCGTCTATGATGAATGGAGTATAAACTGTACCACTTAATGTATTACGGAATGACTCTAGAAATGGCGTATTTTGGATGAGCTCAGTCCAAACTTAGGCTTAAAAATCAAACGAACAAACAAATATGAAAACCCCATTACAACGCCCCCCCCCCGAGCAATCTGTTTCTAGACTGAAAAGTGGTTTGTCGGTTAAACCCGTTAGATGGAGGAACAAGTTTGCAAAATTCATGAACTTGTTAATGTTTTTACTGAAGGCAAAAGTCTTCAGAGTTCTTGGATGATCACGCTCCAGTTTTGTCGACGGAGAACAAAAACAAAACAAGAAAACCCCCCACAATAAAACAAACGGGCAGGAAAAAGTATTAACGAGATTCTGAGATGGGGGATACAAAATTGATAAGTTCTTAATGTAGCATTCTCCACCGCGCCGTGGTTGAGCGAGCAAGAGAAACAAGTCATAATGAGATACCTTCACGCCGTCTCGCATTCCAATCATTTGAGTGACGAGCTGCCCGTGCCACCGTTCCAGCAACCTGTCCTTCCGTGCCTTCTTCTGAACGCTTCCTCAGTATTACAAAGTTCTATCTGACATTTTTGGCCGTTTCGAGTTACCCAGACCATGAGGTCAGAAAGCAAATTAAATGCTCTATCTGCTCTATCAAGATCATACGAATATTCGAAGTCGTTATCAAACTTTTCAAAGAACTGCATTCGAAAAAGCCTGACATATTGTGAAACAAAAAAAAATTTGACAACGTCAGATTTCTCAAAACTAGGTATTGAGCAGATAAAACCTTGTAATTCTGAGGTAGCACAATGTCTTTACGGGCGATTGGGGACTTTTCGAACTGGACCAGCGTCAGTGGTGTGGTGATTAGGTGCATCGCTGTCGCACGAAGAAGATCTGAGTTCAATATTAT